TATCTATAGTAACCGATTTATTGCCTGTTGACCATTTTTGTGCCTATGTAAACATTTTGGAGGTCAAGTTTGAGCAACAGACAAACAGAAGTAATGGTAATTACATAGAAAATAACAGAAAGCTCAGACAAAATGGCAAACCTCAAGCAAGTTGATATGATTTACTTTTACAAATAACGAATAAAAAAAAATAAAGAATATTTTATGCAATCTTTCTTTGTCAGTTGAGATGAGAAAGAGAATTCTTTAAAGCTGTATAAATCCTATTTTGATATATGGAAATGAAAATGGACAGTTGGTAGATTAAGACAAAATTATTTGGAAGCTTCGGAGATATGTTTTTACAAACATGTAATGAGAATACCCTGAACAAATAAAAAGAGCAATGAAGATGTCTTAAAAGAAACTGAATCACGAAGAGAACTGATTGCCCACATCAGAAAGAGACAATCCTTTGGTCATATGATGAGACGGAGAAAACTGGAGTACATCGTGACAGTAGAAAACTTGGAGTGGAAGAGAGGCAGAGAGAGACTGAGAGAATATGCTGGACAGTTTGACATTGTGACATGTTTCAGAGTTGATTGAAAGCACACAAGACAGAAGGTTGTGGATAGACATGACTACCAATGCCACACGGCATGGACTTTAAGAAGAAGAGAGACGTATCAGTTAAAGAAGCTGGTTGACATATTTATTAAAATTAGTGACACAAATAACAGCACACAGAAAAGGAGCTGGTTATCAACTAGAGTGGAAACTGTTGTGTATGAATTGAGCTGGTGATACAGTTAAGACCTGTGATGTTTAAAGACCTTACTGTTTCATTACACCAGCACAGTATCTTCCATATAAATACCTTTCTCCATAGCATCCTGCTTCCATGAATTCACCTCAGTGCTTGTATCATTTGTGTCCTGCTGGCATACATATTTATTTCATAGTAAAAACTGATCTTGATATCTTCTACCTACCTGTAATTCACCATAGAGGATGTCCTTAGGGAGTCCATCCTCCAAGTGTATCATAGCCATCTGAACCTTACTGAGCTTTAAGAAAACTGATGTAATATATATTTTCCCAACCTCTCAGTATTTGTGACATTATCTTGCCACCTGATGCCTAAAAGCATGAAGTCCATGTCTCTTTATATCTCATTTAATCAAGAGCACATGATTATAACAAATACTAATGTTACTACTACTCATTAACAAATATATTTGGTATTTCAGTGACGTTTATTAATTTCTGTGCTTCATTATATGTTGATGTAACACATCTGATGAGATGCAGCGAAATATGCCTGGCAATAAACTATGCAATGTATTGTTTGTGTCCACATTAAAAAAGAATTAATTTTAGTAATAATGCTTGCAGTTGTCTTTTCTCTCTTCTTCAGGGTTACGAGATTATTCAGTGCAGAGTGATTCCTGGGTGGCAGAGGAGCACTATGGGAAGAAAACAAGAGCAGGCTGTTAGTAGCAAGGTTTCACTTATGTCTTGTTGATGAGTACATAGTTATAACAATAATCATTGCAACACTACGATCATCACTGTCAGCGTTACTATCTTATGAAGTATTTTCAGTAACGTTAAGTGATTTCTGAAATAGGTATTAACTATTTGTTAACCCTACCAGACCTAAGGCCCTGAACCTAACTGTCCCTATAACCTGAGCTCCTGTGCATTACCGCGAAAAAACCAACTGATGTACAACAAATAGCACTAGAATATGATGAAACTTGGAGACATTGTAGAAAATGTCTAGTGCCAATAACCTTTGTGTATCAACTTATTTTCACAAAGTGAACACCAGATGTTGCCGTTTGATGGACACACCCCCCTTCTAATCATTGTCATTTCAAGAACGTATTCTTTATGAAATTATCGCAGATAATGAATATATATATATAACTATTATATATATATATATATATGCTGCAGGATCATATATATATATATATATATATATGATATATCGTATATATATATATATATATATATATATATATATATATATATATATATATACATGTATATGTATATATATAGAGTCTGAATAAACCAAAGTATCGATCACCTGTTGGACTGTGAAAAGCTTAGAACTTGGTTCATCAGCCGCTCGCTTTCATTCTGAATTTTCAGAAATTTTTCACGTTAAAACACACAAAATTGATTCACACACACGCCATTTGCAATCTCTAACAAAGCGGACTGAGGACAATCAGTGATGCATCACTAGCAAATAGCCGAAATTTAGGGCCTATACAGATTATGATTCCCGGATGATGATTAGATTAGCTGCAGGAGATCGCAGATTGTAGAGAGGCATGATCGCCCATGCCAGTCGGCAAGGCACCTGATGATGATGATGATGATGATAGTGTTCTATGTAACCCAAAGATTAGATTTATATTATAAAGTATGCACAATAAATACTGAAGAGAATACCACATGCATCTAAGAAGGTGTGTCAGTAAATAAACAGACAAAACATACTGTGTGAGTCAATTTATTCACAATAAAATAAAAATATGTGTCCATCTCCACAATGAAGGTTGGCTTCAGTGTATCCACTGCTGTTTTCAGGAATATTACATGGAAAGGCCCTAATCTCTTCCGTTGTGTGACTCTCGTACTGCTGTCAGAAAGCCATAAGAATGTTTTTTTTTTTTCTGTTTATTATTACAAAAGTAACCAATATGTAATATTACTTTTCTACAATAATCTTCATAGTTGTTTAGGTATTTAATCTGTAAAATTTAAGACAGATCATCAAAGGAAACAGCACATAAAGTTATGTAAGTTGTCAGTAACATACTAGGAACCAAACTGCTCTTTATGGCAGTATTCCTTGCATTCTGAGTTCAGTCTGGTTTCTAATGGCATATTCCATTATGGTCTTGAGGTCAGGAAGCTCATTATATTGGAGTGAGGCTAGACAGCCAAAAGCATGACATGATACATCTTTGGGTGCATACACAACAGGAGCATCATACGTCCACTTCTCATGAATGGAAATGCCATTCATTTGTAGGGATTGCCCTTATTTTGCCACAACCTTCTTTTGAGGGTATTGTAAAAGATATTTGGTTCTGGTAATGAAGTCGGGCCCAGGATAAGAGTGACTTCCCTTGCTGTTCATGCTGCGTAAGGCTGCAGAACCTCTCCTACATTGAGGGTATGTAATTTTTACATTACTGTCAACGCTTTAACCATTCCCTGTATTCTCATCTTCTCACCGCTCGCTTCCATAATTATTTTTACATTCTGCTACCTTTGCTAGTGCGGCAGTATAGAAACAGCGAAATTCTATTCCTACATTCTTTAAGTACTGTCTACCTTTCAGGAAAGGGGGGAGGAGAGAACCATCAATGAACATACAAATACAAAAACATCCCAGCTTCGATACTCAAGAATCGTTGCACCTGCAGCGCTTCCCCATGCAGTACTTCTTACTTGTACACAGGTGCCTGAGGCAACAGAACCTCACACAAACATTATATACACTTAGTGAATGCCAAACCAAGCCATATCATAACAAACCTGCAACTTAGGAGAGGTCCTGCGACCTTATGCGGCATGAATGGCAAGGAAAGTGACTCTTATCCTGGACCAGATATGTAAATGTGAGAAGATCCGTTTAACTGCACTGGGAATTCTCATGTGTTGCTTGATCTATCTAATTCCGCAGAGCGCAACAGGTCGTTCATAATCCCAGTGACAGCTTCAAGTGATTCCTTAAATGCATACACTCATGAACTTTTCCTGCTTCTTGCGTTCATCGACTATAAACTCTGGCCAAAAGTTCTATTTGTTTGCTCACCTTTGGACATAAGTCTTGTTCCAGAACCTGAGTGTTGTGTGCACATCTGTTTTACAGATGTGACTTATTTGTATGCAGATTGTTGGCTCCTTGCCTTTCAGGCAGATGCACTCTGACTTCAAAGGAAGCCCCCAGTTAGTCGACTCTTACGACATGCCTGTTCGGGAGGCAGTGGGTGTATTCTAGTTTCCCCCACAGTGGGTCCCTGGAACTCACATGTGGAACTCATGAACTATAAACTAAATCTGAAACCAAACTAACAACTTTCAGGGAAGGAAGTAAACAGTCACATTGTCCTGGAGACCCTGTCTGTGAGGGCTCAGTGACCTGCATACAGTTGTTCTGAATTAGTTTGTTGGGGTGCAAACCTAAAGTTGACAATTACAAAAATGAGACAATATAAATCTGTAAATCACTTACTTAGTCGCTCCTCTTCTACCTTGGGGTGTCGAGGTTTGCCAGAGAGATCGCCAACTCTCTATCAGGTTTTCTTTCTGGCTTTTGTTCCACAATCCAGTCCTCTGTCAGTCAGGGACTGTCGGATGTTGTCTTCCCAGCGCACCCTGGGTCGTCCCGGAGGTCTGGTTCCCTGGTTCTTAGCCTCCCATGCTTGCCATGGTGGCCGATTTTCTCCCATTCTGCACACATGTCCAAACCAGTAACTGTGACTGATCCACTCGGGTTAGTAAGGGCTTATCAAGATCTTGACGTATTGTCTGATTGGTTTGTCCCTTCTTGTCACTTGGACCACCTTTCTCAGGTATCTCATTTCCGAGGCCTGCAGCTGGCTTCTGTGAGCTGTTGTCATTGCCCAGACTCACACCCATAGGTCAGGACTCACCATTTTCGTCCTCTTGCCAATTTCTCTTTTGCTAAGAAACCCTCGAGAAGAGTCAAGCTGAGCCAGCTAAATCCTCCATTTTGTCTAGAAATAAATACATGGGAGGGTTAATCTTGTCCTCAAATGTAAGAAAGAATATATCAGCAGAAAAGAGCAAATGTACAGCTCTGCTTTAGACATATATAACATAAATTTAACCAGTTATTAATAACAAAATACTTGACCAATTCAAAAAGATAAGGATCTAACCTGACCTATTCATTCATATATATAAAAAAAAAAAAAACCAATAGCTCACTTAGTTTAACAAGCTGTTTTATCTCACATTCATAGGTGTCAAAATCTAGTGTTAAAAAACAAGTGGACCAAGGGCAAGTTAGAAAAAGGTAAGTAATGAAATTTATAAACATTCCTAACAGATGGACAGATTTTCTGGTTCTGCACCACTGGATGGTGAACTGAGACATGACAAGCCAGATGTGGTCAGGGCCCTGTGGGAGTGAGTGAGCAATGCAGTGGCATGAATGGATCATTATCCAGAGAATGGTGCAGCTTGGAGTGACCAGCGGATCTGGTTGACACTCTAACCCAGACGAAAGGCATGAAGGACATATAATCAAACTGTTACTTGCACCACTGGAATGGGACCACTTCACTGGCTGTTGAAAATGAGAACATAATGCTTTTGGGAATGTCCCAAGTGCTCTTAAGTCAGTGTGTCTGACAACTCAACTGAACAAAAAAAATGTCTGCCTGTTTTAAAGTCTATATTTCCCGTGTGGGTTCCGGGGCCCTATTATAGGGAAAGCAAGAGTAGACCCATGCGTACCCAAAAGCATGTCATAAGAGTCAACTAATTGGGAGCTTCCTTCAAAGTCAGAGTGCATCTGCCTGAGAGGCAAGGAACCAGCAGTCTGCATACAAATGTGTCAGATCTGTAAAACGGATACACACTCAACACTCAGGTTCTGAAACAAGACTGCAGTCCAAAAGTGGACGAACAACCAGAACTTTCCGCCAGAGTATACAGCTGGTGAACGCGAAGAAGAAGAAGAAGAAAATCTATATTTTGTACAAGTTATGAGTAGCATTAAGTCTAAGCGAACGCTTCATAATGCCAGCGTACCGGGTTTGATCCCAGCTGCGGGCCATGCGCATTGTGTTGGTTTCAACAGTGGTATCAGGGATCCGACTGTTCAGAAAGCAATGGCAAACTACTGGATGTAAATTTGCCTAGAGAAGCCATACAGCAGCCAGGGGCTGCTGGGGTTTGTTCTCCAATGTCCTGTAAAGGATATGCAACTAACGTTATGAGTAACATGGTTTTACACAGATTTTCTAAACTGTTCAGACTTAGTGGCTGACATGCAATCTTTATTTTGAGATGCATGTTCATGTTCTTATGTTATTATATTAAATATGTTTTGTCCATTTCTGGATATCTAGTAATTGGCCATATTATAGACTCAACCTTGTTTACAAGATGGAGCCTTTCCTCTTATCCAGTTTTCTGCTACAGTTTCATAACTTCTGCATCATGAAATTCGTCAACTTTTGGCTGTCTGGCAATGCAGATTTCTATAAAATGGGCAGTTTCAAAAGTTGTATACTGGAAAAAATTCAAAGGCATGTGAGCAAGAGGCAGACAGCAATACTGTTAGTACGATAAAAGTAAAGAGATAGACAAACGGCAGTCAGAGAAATGGTGAAAGACTTTGTGTGTTGGAGATCCACTGTGGCCAGCTTTCATTGGGAATTGTGAATCTGCACTAGATTGATTAAAAAGGCTGATTTCAAGGATCGGAACTCCCGTTTCACACATGTAATCATTTGTCTGAGTGATCTGAGTGATGTTATAGATGACCGAGAAGCCTGTGGCCAGTTAATAAATGGAAGAAACCGGTTTGTTTCAGGAAGATGGAGTTAGATTTTCTTTGTATGGAATGGGTAGTATCAATCCAGAGCTCGCAGGTGGTAAGAGTCACATGGGTATTTTGCCCGGGTCATGTAGTTGAGTTTTGCAACAAGAACAGAACATTCAAAACCAGTTACAAAATACATTTGGGAAGGTCCTAGAGAGAATAGTCATTGTCAAGGGAGCTGCAAGCCAGGAAAAGATACCTGGTCAAATGTGACCAATTTTGCTGTTGATGTTTATGACAGAGTCCAGAAGAAACAGGAAATGGAGGATGTGCTTGATCTCGAGGATAAGTATGATAGGGTTAGATAGGATATCTTGATGACCACTCTGATGCAGAAGAAGGTCAGTCCCTGGTTGATGAACTGGATAGCAGCTGTCCTGTATTCTTGTCGGGTTGCTCTCCATCTGGGTTTATGGACCTCAGAGCCATCTCCCCTGTGCTCTTTAATTTTATACAAGCAGGATTGCAAGCCTAGAAGCCCCAGGGGTAGAAAGGATACTGACATTTGCAGGTGATATTCTTGTTTATAGGCAAGGGAGAGCTAGGGAACAAACAGCCCAGGAGCTACAGGCGACAATAGGCAAATTGATTGACTGGTAAATACTGTCGTTCCCTCAGAAAAGGTGTCTGTTTAGTGGTGTATTTGAGCTGATGTCCCGTCTCACAATAGATGGTAGAAATGTCAACAGAGAGAGCAAACTGAAGTATATGGGAATTACGTTTGACAGGAGCCAGTCTTTCAAGGGCCATGTGGAGATGGCTGTGACAAGATGATAAAAGGGACTTAATACACTTAAGACTGGCTAGTGGACATAGAGCAGAAAATGCTTTGGAAATTATATCAGCACTTTGTCCTCTCAGTGATTATGGACTAGGCTCACGGTCTGAGAATCAAAGAGTTAACTGGTGAAACTAGAACACATACGAAGCTGTGCGGGTCATTGTGAGATGTGTGTATGCAATACATCCTTGGTTTGCAGACTGTTGCAGGTAGGCTCAATGTACTGCAGGTGAAGTCATACCTCAGAGTAGCTGCAGACACCGATCACACTAGCATATTATACTATAACACCCAGCTTAGGAATGGAGGTGGAAGCAGTCACTGTAGCTCTCTGCTGGCTAGAGAACATGATACACACACACATTTTGATTGTAACTAACTCAGAAAGCAAGCTGAGAAAGGTGAGGACAGGCATGCTTTGTGCAGAGTGGCATGCTTCGCTTCAGAGGTCAAGGGTGAAGAGCACTGTCTGGATCTTTTATCTGTGGTATGCCGGTGTTGCGAAATGAGCAGGCGGACAGATTGCATGGCAATACACAACTTGGTTATGCATGTTAAGACTGATGTGGTTAAGGCCTTATGGCAGCACGTGTTCAGTTTGAAAAGGCAAGTTGATCATCACAGTCTGGTGAGAGTAATACAGAGAGGAGTGACATCGGGCTCTGGCTGATACTCGATGCTCAGAGGAAAGGCAAGATATATATATATATATATAATCAGACTGCTGTTGGCACCATTGGTATTGAAACTCTGCATCGGCTGCTGAAGATAGGGTCGAAGTGTTTATGGGAATGCAAAAAAATGCTGTGATGTTGATTCTTGAATCAAATCAAATCAAATCATGTAGGTGTGTTTGCGAATGAGCGGCAGATAGGTTGACTGGACTGACCCCACTAGGGAATGTGCTGCAACTGCACAAAGCAGAGGTGATTTCTCACCTGTGGGGCCAGGTAATAAGTAAAGGTGAAAATACTGAAAACCCGTACCTGGCAAGAAAGGTGTAGTTGCAAGTGTCTACGGACTGTGGAGACTCAGGGGAAAGGCAAGACATGTAGTTAACCAGATGACAGGGGACACCATCGGTATGTAGACTCTTCGCTGGCTATTGAGGGAGACTGAGCTAACATGACTTATTCTGAATGCAGTGATGTCGAATCTTTACCCAGATGAACCCAGATGGTTTGGTTTTGTCTGCTAAGTGGTAACTTTTTTGAAAACACACCTTCCATGTTACATAGGTACATAAATTCAAGCCAGTAGTTACTGAATGGATGAATGAACGAACAAACTTTATTTCCATAAGGGTTACAGATTGGGCATTCAAGGAGAATTCGACCTCTGGGTAGATACACATGTGTATAAGTATGTTTATATATTGTATATATTTCATCATAATCTTGTCTCATTTATACAGCAAAACATGAAGTAATATAACTTTACAAAACAAATGTTAAACAAAATGTTTGAAAAGTCATAATATAGAAATCTTATGTGTCACAAATGCTGAATAATGTATATGTCTCTTCTTTTGTTTTTTGTTCAAATTGGACATGGAATTAGTCAGTGCGTGAGAGTGAGCCATCATCATCATCTCATCCTGCAACCCTGGACTTGGGTCATAGGATTGTTGTTATATGAGTGTTAGCAGTCAAAGTCCTGCATTGTGATCTGTCCTCAGGAAGATGCACAAAGTTGGAAATATTTAATTTGGTCCATTCTTAAATGTTATCAATAAAGGGTGTTCTTTGCTGCTTTTTCTTTTGTTTGCCATCAGTTTTTCCCTGATGGATTAACTTTCAAGGATAATATACCCATGTTTATAGCATTTTTAATTTTTGTGTGTCTTTGAGCAGGCAGCAAGACAAACCCAAAGACATTGAAACCATGAGGCGAGGTACTTTGAAATCAAAAGCAGGTTTCACTCTCTACACACATTGTTCTGATACAGTGAAGCAAACCAAGCCTCCAGGTAAATGTCTAAGTATCACTAATTATACGCGGCACGGTGATTGCGGTCACAATAGTGAGGGAAAGATAATGTCATTGTGATGTGTGTAAGAAATACTTTGTTCCTCATCTCGGGCACCATCAGACTGTGATGTTTTACGGATCCTGATGCAAGACTCATCCTAATTGTGTGCTATGGATAATGGCTCATCTTTGTAACCTGAACTGAGTTCGCAGGGGATCTTGGAGTTGGTGGTTTCCCCAGAGATGTAGTGTCCAGTCTGGTTCTCATCAGCCCACCCCCAATGCATGGGTGGAAACAACTGTAAAAACTAATTTTGAACATGAGTAAAGCCTGCTAGCCAGATATATTGCCAAATGACAACTCTGTTAAAATATCTGTCGAGTGAAAGAACTACTGAATTGTTAATACTCAGCTCTAGACCAAGAGATTTGCTGGCAGCTTAGACAGGCAACATCTCCTGCAGGCAGTATTTCACTGTACAGTTCTGTCTCCATAAATTTATTGTCGAACCTTGACATCGTTATCACTGTGTTGAGGTATACCACTAAAAATCTACCACTGTCAGTCAGCTGGTTAGGGTCAAATGTCTATCAGCAACATGTCCTAGGCATAAGAGCAAAGTCTTAAATGTCCGACTGTCAAAAATCCTACTGTTGGCAGAAATGTTCATGTGTCTATTACCTTGGGCCCCACTCATCAGAGTGTCTGGACTGAAAAGGGGAAGCCATGCCTGATGCATATTTTTCCATGCTGTCAAGCAAGGTGTCCAGATAAAACAATTTTAAAGGTGTCTAATGTGCTGTAGAAGAATGTACTTATTTGTGTGGTTATCAAAGCTCCAGCATGTGGGCTACTCCCTGCTGATCTCGGGAGCCACAGCCCATGAGGACGGAAAGCTCAGCATAAGAATGTGAGGTAAGCAGTCATGTGCAGGATGGGATGATTCCTTGGGTGAGCCCAGGACCAGAGTGTCATGTGTCAGCTCTGCCTTTGCGGAAGCCTCCATGAATGGCGGGGATTGCCCATGAACTGACCCTGTCCTCCTGTGAGGGCTGACCCTGAATGGACTCTCCAGGGCAACACCAGTAGTTAGGGATACAAAGAGATCACCACATATGAAGTTAACCTGGTCAAAAAAGGCTTGAAGTCAGATGTTTCAACTGAAAGGTGCAAATATCGCCATTTTGCTCTTAACAGGCATAACCTAATTACGTCACTAGGACGAACAAAAAGAAGAAGAAGAAGAAAACTAAATATATTTAAAGAAAACAGCAGTCATCTTGTAGTTTTTGATATCTCTATAGAGTCTCTTGGGCCATCTCATTCTTAGTTGCCCAAGTGTATTAATTAATACTGTTAATTATCATCATAGCACAGTGTCTGTGAATTTTCACCTTGCATGCAGTTATGCATACTGCTGTACTGCTATGAATTATGCCACATTCCAACCAGCTGGAATATATAAACATATGAGATTGTAGTTTTATAAGGTGCACATTTTTAAAATAAATAATTTCATGGTCATCAGTGTTACTCTTCATTCAGAAATTGTCAAGCAGATACATTGCTGGTTCCTCTCCACTTGGTGGTAAATTGATGCATGACAATATAGATGCTCTGAGGGCCTTGTGGGAGCCAGTGAACACTGCAGAAGTGCAAATGGATCATCAAGATCTGAAAAGAATGGTACAGCGAGAAGTGACTAGGCTGGCTTACACTAAGCAATCAGGGAAGGAGTGAGATGGATTTACAATCAGACAGTTATGGTACCATTGGAATTGGAACTCTACACATGCTGCTGAAGATGGGGATGAAGCACTTATAGGAATGTCCAGAGTGCTATGATCTCAGTTGTCCTGCATATTGACTGAAATTTGTTTCAGTTCCCAAATCTTTGGCGAGCAACCTGAAGCAGATTCAAGGTGAGAATGAGGTTGAAGATCAGTTCTTGCAGCAACCAGATGTGGTTTCACAGATGCAAATTCAGAACGCACTGACAAAGCCTGGGGATGTTTCAAGTATAATGATTCCAACTGGAGACATTGAATGTAAGTTTGCAGGCATAAACTGTTCATTATATTGTGTTTTTTTTCTTTTCTTCCTTTTTATTTGCTGTTGGTGCATATGCCTCAAACCCAGCCCAGGCAAAGCCATTGTTTCTTTTTCTGTCTTATTTTGCATCTTCTTCTCTGACTTTGCCATACTGTTCATCTGTATCTTTAATTCTTTTCTCTGTGTGTTTTTTATGTCTTCCTTTATTTCTTTTACCTTGTCTTGTGGTTGTGTGTTCGATTAACCCTTTTAGATAAGAATTTGTTCATTGACCTGGGCTTCCAGTTTAATCCAACCTTAAAAATATACCCCCCACCCACACACAAAAAAGATTGGGCGAAGTAAAAGAGACCAGTATGATATTGACCTTAAATATGGTATCGTTACAATATTCCTTGTATGTCTCCTGATGTGAAATTGTGAATGTGTGTGTGTGCACATGCACACATGTGTATAAATGTGTGTGTGAGAGTGGGGGAGTGTGTGTGTGAGTGAGAGAGAGAGAGAGAGAGAGAGAGAGAGTGTGTGTGTGTGTTGGATTGATGGGCTGGAGTGTTTAAGATTTCCATGTTGTATACATTAGTATATTATTATTACACCACTTTAGAATATAGACTATCTAATCTGTCTTTTAAGGGCAGTAAAGGACAGAGGGATCTTGAGCCTGAGGAGTTCAAGGTCACAAGGCTAGTGCAGTCACAGTGAACTGGCTGAATGTTTTTGTTTTTGTTTTTTGCAGAGGACAGTACCTGTTTATTACAGGTGACTATTACAGTGGTTTAACAACTTGGTCAGTCCCACCTCAACATTTTGTGAAGATGCTTCTATAGAAAATCTTAACACGGTGACAGAAATTACAATAACTGTGCCATTGTCTTGTAACCTGTTAGTAAGAATATCAAGAGTATTAAACACATGACTTCACCATACAGACAAACATGGTGATATCATAATGATATTAAGATGATATTCCCATTTATGACATGACCCAAAGTGGAGCAGCGTTCTTTTACCTGTTTCTTTTATCAGTTAAGGAAGGAAATGTATAGAAATTCATTGGCGAATGAAGGTGCTTATGGTGATGCCTTATTAATATAGTATATCTATTGTAAATTAGAACTGGTGTGTGTGTGTGTGTGTGTGTACATATATAAGGAAAGAAATTAAGTTGTACTTTTTCGTTTCCAGCATCTGGAGATAGCACATGGTATGGACACTTAGACTTGCCAGAGTTTGGTACTCCTTTCAATAAGCGTCTAGTCTCCTCTACACCTGACCCAGAGAGTTTACTTGAAGCTGATCGCGTGGAGCATCATTTGAATCAGATATCAATGATGTGTCCCCAAGTTATCCCTGAACGAGACACCACACATCCCACTAAACAAACAGAGGTCCTCTCCACAGTTGCCAGCAATTTGAGTGAAAAACTGAAAATGCAGAGACAACAGTTTCAGCAAAATCAGCAACTTCTCCAGCAGAAACAGTGTCAGCAGCCACCTCAGAATCACCAACTTCTCCAGCAGAAACAGTGTCAGCAGCCACCTCAGAATCAGCAACTTCTCCAGCAGAAACAGTGTCAGCAGCCACCTCAGAATCAGCAACTTCTCCAGCAGAAACAAACTCAGCAGCCTCATAGTCTACTGGAACAGCAGTCTCAAAAGTACCAGAACCCTTTGTTGTTAAAACTACCTGATGATGGTACTGTCTTGCAGAAGCTTATTCATCAACCAGTTGTTCCCAGCAGTGATTTGCCGAAGGTGGTTCCCACCCTTGTGTCAGGTGCAAACAGTGTTGGTGGTCATGAACATCTTAAAAGGCATAAACCCACGTCCACATCTGTTGATTATGCCATACATACCCAGCAAGTTCAGATAATGGGGCAGTTAAGTTCAAACCTGCAACATAGTTCTGGTGCAGTTGTGCCAACAAAATCAGTACACTCTGAAACAGCAGGCGATATTGTGAGTGTTAGAACACAGGGAACATACCTTGGCAGTCCCGTTTCCAAAGTAACCATAGTTTGTTCACAAAAAAATAATCAACCAAGTATTACACCTCGTTTATCTCAACCCAGTTTGACAGAAGACAAAATTAACAACAATAAATTTGTCAAGATAGCATCACCAAAATATACCTCAGCTTCAAAGAAAGCTGTTGACAGTAATCCAAACATGAAACATTGTGAAACTGCAGTGAAAGAACTTGACCATAGTGAACCCACAAGTGCGTTTTCTAGGCCAGAAACTCACACAGGGACACAGAATTGTGTGATGTCATCATATCTACAATCTTCCACAGTAAAGGAGATACTGGTTCCTAAGTTAGGCAATAATTTTGTTGAAGATAATGTTTCCAACACTCAGGTCTCAGGATTGTCTGTGCACGAAAAAGCAACTCAAGGTGAAATAAATAATTTAAAGCCTAATCTAGTAAAGAAAACAAAACTGAATCACACTTCACAGACGACTGGTGATCCTAACATAGGAGGAAATTCTTCACCGATGAAATCAAAAACAGTTCCAGTAAATGAGATAAAAATAACAGAAAAACCTGGTGCACAGAATAAAGTAAAATATTCATTTGAAAATGAAACTGAAAATAAAGTCAAGTTTTCAGAGCAGCCTGGTAATCTAAACAATGTATGTGTTGCTTCACCTTTGAAATCACACAAAAATTATATACAAAGAGCAGAAGACTTAAGAATTTCACAACTAAATAGAAATCTACAAAATGAGCACAGCTTAGATACAAGTACCGATACTTGTGACCTGGAAGTTAATAATGTATTGAAGAAGTACAAAAACAATGCAGATGATAATAACAAGGGAGACTATTCAGGGCTTAATGGAAAGCTAGATGCGAAGAATGTAGATGATGGCAGGATGTCAGTGGCAAGTGTGTCTTCAACCTTGAGTCATGTGATAGAGTTTCTGAAGACAGATGCTTTCAACCAGCCCAGAGAGAGTGAGGGAGGTGGTTTGAGCATTGCTGATAACAAGAACACTGACAAAAATAATACTGGCAACAAAAATATTGACATTATTGCTGCTATTATTCCTGACATTGATTCAAGCTCAGATAAACAACCTGCTGATAGTGATGCCTTAGCTGAACTCATGCGGCAGTATCTTCCTGGAACTGTCCAGAATAATAATTGTGATAGCAATAAACACGATGACACACATTCTAATTCAAATTCCAAAAGCAAAGACCAGGATGGGAATATTTGTGATAGAGATTCCAAAAGTGGTGATGCATCAGATGCTAACTTAGCTGCTGAGAGAGATGCAGAACTGAACGTGAATCAGAATCACTTTCATGATGATGTCAGTGAGTGTGAGGTACTGACACCAGAGAGACGGAAACACTTGCAGTACTTGGAGAGAATGGCTGATCCTGCTCTTCGGGATGTAACCTGCAGGCTTGCATTGAAAGCTACAGCACTACGTAAGTAGCTTCTTTTTAAAAATTCTTTTATAGTTTTTGTTTGTTTGGCCTTTTATATTGTATACTATCAACTATTTCTGGCACAGATTATCCTCCATGCCATTTTGCCAGAAGACTGTAGCCTCTTCTTTATAGTCCTTTTATAATCTTTCCTGCCTTTTCTATCTTGTGCACTTTCAGCCATTTCTTAGACAGATAACCCTTCTTCCATTATGCCAGACTGTCCAGCAGCAGCTTTCTTGATCTCTTTCTGTTGCCTCTTCCCTTCCAATTGTCCTGTTGTCACATACTCCAGTTATTCCCTTCTTTTATGAGTGCACCCAATACAAATTAGTACAGTTGCATTTAAGCAAGCTTAACCTTTTCAGAACCAAAAGTACATGTAACTTGATACAATTTGACATATTAAAATTACTTTATAAGGCATCTGTTTAACATTTAAAAAAAAAAAGGAAATAAACATGACATTTGTATGTTTTATAGCATTTCATTAGATACCTCTGTCCCACTGGATGTAAGATGTTGCTGATCAATTACAATTACAGTTAGAAATATTTATTATTAATGTTATAATATTATTAATGAAACACATGTGTTCCCTGGTTGTGAAAGGGTTAATATTAATAAAAGGTAGTAACAAATAAATGTAATATAAATGAAAGGTAAAAAATAAATGTAATGTCAGTGAATAGCAGTAAAAAAAATAATACTTTTTTGTCCTAGCAAGTGGCTGTAGTAAATGTTAATTTTATTTTAGGCTGTGGCTAAAAACAGTAATTGTAACTTTAACTGTTAGATGAGCAAGAGGAGGTTCCAGTTTGACAGCATTAAAGAAATTATACGTTCCCCCAGAATGACAGTAGTCAGAATTGGGCATCTTTCTAGATAAAAGGTGCAATTATTCACCATAAAGCATCTAAAAAGAGCCAGTACTTGCAATAAAGTGTCTGTTACAGAAGCGCTAGGAAAAAAAATTACTCATTGAGAAAATGATGCAGGTTTTGTTTACCACAACACAAAAAAGCCCATCTAGCGCTGGGCCATAGACAATTCCTCATAACATTTGATGATAAAAGAGCAAGATGCTTATGTCGATGATGATGACTGTTTTGAAATAAATAACTTTATACATATAGAGAACTGATTAAATGCTAGAGTAAAGTACTGCAGTGATAATTTTACCACGACCCCACTAATTTATGTAATTTGTAGTTATTTCTTTAAGGAGAATTCTGCCTTTTATGAAATTGGTTCTGTTTTTTTTTCAAGGACCCTAAACAAACATTTAGCTGGGTCCTTATGTAGAAGTTTTGAGCCATGCTCTGAAAATTTGTGTTAGATTTCAGATTTCATCCTTCAATTCATGGGTACAGGTGTTTTGGAAATCCCTGCAGGTTGTCACTGGAGCTACATAGGGGCAGTTTTTGTGCGCCACTTTCAGCAGCTGAGCAGCTTTTCTGGAGAGAGAGAGAGAGAGAGAGAGAGAGAGAGAGAGAGAGAGAAAGAGAGAGAGATATAGAGAGAGACCAAGCCATATAAGATAAAATCA